GAATTGCAGCTATCGGACAATGAGTTAAAGAATCTCACACTAATTGAGATTGAGAACATGATGCAATCGAATCGAAGAAGTTTGCATGAATTTAAATGTATGCCGTATCCAGATTCATACATCACAAAACATGTTGGCAATAGGCTTATTAATGACGAACTTAATTACGATGCCGATACCGAGAAACAGAAATTCCAAGAACTTTTTCATGCCCTTACAGGTGATTTATTTTCTTTATACTATGAATTACAAAAATGATTTTTATTGTCCTTGCACTTATAATTCTTGGTTTGTATTTTATAGATGAACAACGTTTGATATTTGAGAAAATCATGGATGCTGTTAACAAACATAGTGGAGGGGTATTTTTCTTGCATGGTTACGGAGGGACTGGTAAAACTTTCATGTGGAGAACACTATCAAGTGCACTTTGTTCTCAAAAAAAAATTGTTCTTACTGTTGCTTCAAGTGGGATAGCTTCGTTATTATTGCCGGGTGGAAGAACAGCACACTCAAAGTTCAAAATACCTGTGCCAACGCTTGACAACTCAACTTGCAACATCGACAAAGACATCAAACATTCTCAATTATTTGAAGCAACGGATGTGATAATATGGGATGAGGCACCTATGTCTCACAAGAACTTCTTCGAAGCATTGGATAAAACCCTTAAAGATGTAATGAGCAAAAAGGGTGTTGAGAATACTATTTTTGGTGGAAAAGTTATTGTATTTGGAGGAGATTTTAGACAGATTCTTCCTGTTGTTCCAAGAGCTAGGCGTTCTGATATTGTTCATGCATCAATTAGTTCATCTTATGTATTGGATTATTGCCAGGTTTTAACACTATAAAAAAATATGAGACTTCAAGAGGGAAGAGACAACACAAGTTCTAATGAACTAGCGGAATTTTCAAAATGGATTTTAAATGTGGGTGATGGTAAGATTTGTGAACCCAATGATGGTTTGGTTGATATTGAAATTCCTCAAGAGCTATTAATATCAAATTTTGATGATCCTATAAGAGCAATTGTTGAAAACACATATCCCAATTTGTTGAAAAAATATCAAGATGTTGAATTCTTACAAGGAAAGGCTATTCTTGCTTCAACCATTGAAGTTGTGGACAAAATCAATCATTATGTATTAGACTTGATACCAGGTACATGTGTTTTATATTTACTGTATTATTACATTCATAATATATATATATATATATATATATATATATATATATATATATATATATATATATATATATATATATATATATATATATATATATATATATATATATTTAAGAACATAGTTTTACTAATTTATTTATGTTTTGCTTTTAAACTTTTTTTTAGGAGAAGAGAAAGAGTATTTGAGTTTTGATTCCATTGATAGAACAGATTCAAGTTATACTGAAGCATATGAAGTTCTAACTCCTGAATTTCTCAGTAAATTAAGAACGTCAGGGCTTCCCAATCATAGGATCAAATTGAAGGTTGGTACACCTATTATGCTAATGAGAAATTTGGACCAAGCCGATGGGTTGTGCAACGGAACAAGATTAATTGTTACAAGATTTGCAAATCTTGTCATTGAGGCAAAAATCATGTCTGGAAAGAACATAGGTAACATTTTTTACATTCCACGAATGTCTATGTCACCTTCTGATTCACCTTGGCCATTCAAGTTGATTAGGAGACAATTTCCGATTATTGTCTCCTATGCAATGACAATTAATAAGTCACAAGGTCAATCTCTTGATAGTGTTGGATTGTATTTGCCTACTCCTGTGTTTAGTCATGGTCAATTATATGTTGCAATTTCAAGAGTTAAGAGCAAAAGTGGGCTAAAAATCCTAATTCATGACAAGGAGAATGTACCGTGTTCTACTACTACTAATGTTGTGTACAAGGAAGTCTTTCAAGCACTTTGATAGTTGGTAAACTTTATATCTTATACTTTACGATTCAAATTAAAAATCTATTTTGAATTAAAATATATAGTATGTACATTTTCCATGTATTTCAAGAAGTATATAATTTTTCCTATTTGTTCATGCAGACGTGATTTATTGATAGGACCGACGCTTGCTACAAATATGGAGTTAAATGCCAACATGGTTTACATGAGAAATATACTCAACTAAAAACATGGTAACATACTTAATAATTTAATAATCTATAAATGTAATGTGAATCCAGACGAGACCCGTGCGATAGCACGGGTTTGTTACTAGTATGGAAATTAAAATTGTATATATATTATAGGAAAATCAATAGAAAGACACGACTTATGATTCTTACATTTTTAAATCAGATCTTTCATACAAATTTTAATACAATTCAAATAAATTTATTAAGTGTTAATTCATTTACAAAATGTTAAAGTTTTGGGCATAACCTTCAAATCATTCATAAAAGTTTCATAATATATTGTGAACACTTAATATTTATATATTTTTGATTTTTTATTGAAAAGGAAGATCAAATTTTTTCTTGAAATTCATTCAAGTTTCAAATACTTACTATTTTTCAAAAAGTGTGTTGTAACTTAATCACTAAGTTTGTGGTGATAAATTTGTAAAAGATTCTTTGAATTAATGTAATTCAAAGTCCATCATAGTATTTGGTGTTTTGTCAAAAATTTTCTTTGAATTGGTGTAATTCAAAGTCCCCTATAGTGTTTGTTGTTTATGTTAGAAGATTGTAAGAAAAGTTTTGGTGTGAGACTTGTACAAAGATCTAACATAGTGGAAAATCCTTCAAGATGTGAAGGGACTAGATGTAACCTTGGTTGATAATGTGAACTAGTATAATTCCTCGTGTTCATTTATTTTCGAGCACTTTAATTTTCCACACTTTATATTGCTAAAAACATATCATGTTTTCGTATATAAAGAAAATTAATAACATAAAACAAAAACGAGAAAAATCGTACAACCTTAACTCACCCTTTCTCTTAGATTTCACTATATAGTTACACATGGAACCCAATAAATAGTCTAGAATCGTAAAAGGATAACGACCACTATTGAGATGGCGGAGGCCAAGGGCGAAGATTCTTCAAAAATGTGTGAACAGTAACTTCAAGGAACCCGGGATCTAAAAATCCTACTCAGTGAAGGAATCAACTAGGATGCATCAACCAAAGTTATGTTGTTTCTACAAGAGCCACTGTCACAACACTTAAAAATTCATGCACTTGAAAGTCGTAATCGAATAATTGATCCAGAGAGAAAGGCTTATCAAATACACAGTGGAGGACGACCGTAAAGATGATAAGAGAAGGAATAACGTATACAAAAGGAAGGATGATTCTCCAAGAAGAAAATGATCCCCTCAAAGAGAAAAAATATCCCCAAAAAGACCATTAAAGGTGTATCTGAAAGCAATGGGAAGAAAGACAACAACGACAAAGGAAAGGATGATCGGGAGGGAAAGTGGCAATACATTACATCCATCATATGGGGTCTTCCCAGATCATAAAAATCCATCTAAAGGTACAATTAAGAGACAATTTGTCAAGATGATAACAGTTAACAAAGGAGGGGGAACAAACTTTGATGGAAAACCAAAAATGCCTATCCACAGGTTCTCCCATAGGAGAAGGTGGATGGCATTTCGAATGAAATATTCCCTTTGATAATAAGGACAACTACGACAATCTTTTATGTGTTAAGAATACTCGACGACAGAAGTTCATGCGACATCATGTGTGCAAAGCTTTTCGAGATAAATTATTTAATAAATACATAAATAAATTGTTTATGATACTTTTTAGGTACCGTAGTTTTTTGAGAATTTTATAGCGATCAAATATTTCGTTATATACAATTTCATTATTGAGATCAAGTTGTATGATTGAGTTATTTGATTTTATCTGAGTTAGTCGTTCAGCTCAACCAACGACTTTCTATTTTGACCGCCGATTCTTTGACCCTGTTATCTTGTCGGGTAAATAGTCGAACCAACTTTTAAAATATTGTCTCATCTTTTTTTTGTTCTAATATTCTTCTTCTTTTTTTGTCAGCACTAGTTGTGAGCCCCCAACTCCTTCCTTTTCTTTCTTTTGTTTAAGATTTATAGCTTCAAATCTTTCATCTTTGCATTCCTTTTTATGTTTTTTAAAATAAAAAATGCAAGTATTAAACTGGTTCGGCTTTCTAAATCGACCGAGTTATTAGTTTCCATTGAGTCTCTCTGGTTTGGACCGGTCTAATCCAATCAAATATATATATATATATATATATATATATATATATATATATATATATATATATATATATATATATATATATATATATATATATATATATATATATATATATATATATATATATATATATATATATATATATATATATATATATAGTTTGAACCGACCACTTCACAAATTCCAAGTTTGACCGGTTCAATTTAATTTTTAGAATATATGAACGTGAGTTTAGTGTAATTGTAATTGCTTATATAGATCAGGGTTAGCATTGTGCATTGGCAGAGTAGAGTTTATTTTGAGCCTTGTAATCTATATAACCCACATGATGGTGCAACTCATAACATATTATGAGTCATATATTCGGTTGTAACTTGTAAGAAACAAACAGAAAACCATATAATATTAGCAAGTGACAGAGAGAAAACCATATAGTTAGTTAAAAATAGAAATGGTTTCATTGTAGGAGAGCTGGCATGAAAATGAAAAACGGTTTCTGGGTCGTGTGTTACTATTACCATGCACATTCACCATGCTCGTCTTTTTCTTTTGAGATTCCTCCTCCTCTTCCTCCCTTTCTCTCTCACCCCTTAGGTAACATGACATTTATCTAAATCAATTACTTACAATAACAAACATGTAATGTAACATATCAATGATATCATTATCTTCATCATCATCATGTTTTAAATTTTTTTATTGCAGGTTTGATGATATATAAATGGTTGGGGTCAATATTTGAGGGAGGGTGTGGCTTCTCCGCCTCATTCATTGTAAATATTATTCGTATCAATGGCTGATGCCAATTCACCAACAACATCTCCACCGTCTGATTCATCACAATCCCCGCCACCTCCCTCACCAGACACCGCAAATAATTCATCACCACCACCACCACCAGCCGCTGATAATTCATCTCCACCACCATCCTCTCCACCACCATCGTCACCTCCACCTTCATCACCTCCACCATCATCACCTCCACCATCATCTCCACCTCCATCTTCGCCTCCACCATCATCTCCTTCTCCACCTCCACCTTCTGGCTCTTCCCCGTCTCCACCATCACCGCCTCCACCACCGTCACCAGAAGGCCGCACACCATCGCCTCCAAACCGGCAAGACTTTTCTTCTCCTCCGCCACCACATCATCGTTTGTCACCACCGAAATCACCTCACTCGAATAATCACCATAATTCAAATGATAAGAATGGGAACCAGTTGAACACAGGGGCTATTATAGGAATTGCAAGTGGAGCTGGTTTATTGCTCCTTGTCCTTTCCATACTACTCATTGTATGTTCAAGAAAAAAGAAGAGATCACAACCTCACCATCAATTCTACCCCCCTCAACCCCGCGGTATTATATTATATAAATTCTCAATTTCATTTTTTAAGAGAGTGTAAAGGTTCGTGCATTGAAAATATTGTGTTTTCTAGAACAATGAATGTTGTTTTTTAGAACAATGCATTATATTATTATATTTCTATATAATCTTTATTATATATGAGTATATAATATGATATAATTTGGAAATAAATCTTTGAAATTGCAGGTCCTAATCAATATGAGTACAATAACCGTGATCACATACTTAATATTCCTCCAACACCAGATGGTGGTGGAGGTTGGGGTCCACCACCACCTCGAGTTGGTGGTGGAGGTTGGGGTTTACCACCTGCAACCAGTCTACCTCCGCAGCAATTTAGCAGTGACATGAGTACCTCGAGTTACTCAGGGTCGCAAGGTCCTGTATTTCCACCACCACATCCAACAGTTGCGCTCGGGTTCAATCAGAGTTCATTCACATATGATGAGTTATCCATTGCTACGGGTGCGTTTGCACAGCAAAATCTGTTGGGTCAAGGTGGATTTGGATATGTACATAAAGGTGTTCTTCCTAATGGTAAAGAAATAGCAGTGAAGAGCCTAAAAGCAACCAGTGGACAAGGTGATAGAGAATTCCAAGCTGAAGTCGAAACTATCAGCCGTGTCCACCATCGCTATCTCGTTTCGCTTGTTGGATATTGCATTTCTGATGCCAAAAGGCTTCTTGTTTATGAATTTGTTCCTAACAAGACCCTTGAATATCATCTTCATGGTAAGCTACTAACTACCTCTTTCAAACTTTAACTATTAACTAATATCAAATAATGTGTTTAATTTGACAGTCTGACACATAATTTTTGCAGGAAAGGGTCGACCTGTGATGGACTGGGGCACAAGGCTTAAAATCGCGCTTGGATCAGCTAAAGGACTTGCTTATTTACATGAGGATTGTAAGTGATTATATAATCTAACTATCACAAATAACTAACATGTACTATATTTTGGGATTTACTTGATTAAGAGTGACGTTATAATCATTAATAACTTGTCGAAACACTAACCACTAACCTGCAGGTCATCCTCGTATCATTCACCGAGATATAAAGGGTGCAAACATTTTACTTGAAAACAACTTTGAAGCAAAAGTATGTTTATCAAACATTCCGTATATGTTTCCTCGATTTTCTTTGGTAATTAATTTCTAGTGATTTTATCTTTTTAGGTGGCAGATTTTGGATTGGCAAAGTTTAATCAAGACGCTAACACTCATGTTTCTACTCGCGTCATGGGAACATTTGGGTAATTAACCAAGCTACATTTATCTGTGAATATTTTGCAAATTGCAGTGAATTTATAATCATGCGTCTGTTGACTGATTCGTCTACTAATTCAGGTATATGGCTCCTGAGTATGCATCGAGCGGTAAGCTAAGTGATAAATCGGATGTCTTCTCATACGGTATTATGCTTTTGGAGCTAATAACTGGACGACGACCGGTTGGAACGACTGGTGATGACGAAGAAGATAGTTTGGTTGATTGGGTATATAATATATTTCATAGTTCAACATTCATTTGATTATGAATGTTTAGAATACTATTGTCATACTCATATTCATATAATAAATTTGTTTATGAACATGCAGGCTAGACCACTTTGTACAAAAGCATTAGAAAATGGAATACTTAATGGATTGGTCGACATACGATTAGAGGACAATTATGACAAAAATGAAATAACCCGAATGATAGCTTGTGCTGCTGCCAGTGTTAGGCATTCATCAAAAAGGCGTCCAAAAATGAGTCAGGTAAAATCGAATAGCTACGTATTATGTTTTGTGCAATTAAGATATATTGATAAAACTAATATTCGAATGTTAATTGAATAGATTGTAAGAGTACTGGAGGGAGATTCTTCACTCGAAGCGCTTCATCAGGATGGAGTTAAAGCTGGACATAGTACTATGTACAGCAGCGCAAGTGGAGATTATGATGCAGGAGCATACAGTGCTGACATGAAAAAGTTCAAGAAAGTAGCATTTGAAAGCAGCGTAGCAAGCAGCGAGTATGGTGGGACGAGTGAGTATGGTCTCAATCTTTCCGTCTCAAGCAGTGAACAATCATCTTCTGATTATAGCAGGAGGACAGCAACAGGAACAGGAAGCCGGATCAACACTCCGTGAGAAGCAAATCTTCTTATGAAAGCAATAGAACATTCAGTGATGAGAGTTTTCTGAGACAATACACGAGTTTTCAGCCATATCTTAGAGCCTCTAGTCATGTATTTTGGCTTGGGAAATTTTAAATTGAACAAACAGTTCCATACTTTCTATCTTGGTAACATAATTCCAAGATTTATTTTGATGTAAATTTAAAATATAATTCAAAAAAAATTCTTTCAGCTAAACCATTTTTTTGTCCAACTATAAAGATTAAAAAGAAATCAATAATGATTACATATCTTTCTAGAACAATATTTTTATTACTCGATATAAACCGTGCATTTGCAACCTATCAACTTGTAATGCAACCTATCAATTAGGTTACTACATTTTTTATTGATTTTGAAGTGATGTTTACAATATTGACAAGCATATGTGTAATTGTATTTATGATTTTAAGATCCAATATCAATAATTTAGACAAAATCAGATATAAAATTAGTAAAAATAGAATGTAAAAACTAATACAGATATATTATGTCACATGTAATTTAAGGTTAAAATTTTTGTCCATTGTCTAAAATTCTTTGCTAAAGCATAGTTAGGAAACTCTATATTGATGGAACAAATACTCCCTGGTTGCACAATAGAAATATTTTTGGAACACACAAAACAATTTAATTCTCCTTTTCTAATATGCAATCATGAAACAGGTCGATGGACCTTCGATCTCATCATTATTTCTCATGTATCCGAAAAGTTAGATTCAATCCCTATAAATTTTTTGCTTTCTCGAAGAACATAAAAATTTATTTATTAGGTTTTTGAAATTCATTGGTTAGGGAAGAATTAACCAAAAGAAAAAGAAGGTTAAGCTGATAAGTGAACTTGCAAGGTAGGATGTTGGAAGAGGTAATGATTTGCAGCAAGTGATTCTGATTCAACTAACTAAAGTTGCCACTTTAAAACTGAAAACACTAAAAAAACAGGTTTTGTCCTTCATTAGGGTTATGTACTAGTAGTTGTTAAGAGTATAAGTAGGCCCCATCTTAATCTATTTGATGAATTTCAAATAGGGCTCATTATTTTGAACTTAGTTTCAATTTTGAGGAGAATATTTTTCTAAAATTTTATATGACCATGTCAATCTATTTAAAATTCTATTTTATACTAATCTATCAAAAGAGTCAAACATATATTTAAATATATTTGAGAATTAAAATACCAATAAATTAAAATTTATTTAAACATTTACATTAGAGAATAGTAGCATATTTTAATTATAATTTATAATACAAAATTTTAATTTATGAATAACTAATATAATGGAAAAATTAAATTCTTGTAAAGAAAAAAATATAAACAGAGAAGAGATCTTTTTACTGGAAGAACGAAGTGCGTCGAAGAGAGGGTGAATTAGGTATTTTAAATTTTTTTTTGTTTTAGTAATTAATGAAGGGTATTGTTTTTTTTGGTTTATGGTGATGTTATGAAAGCAATAAAATGTAAAAAAATAAAAATAATAAACAACACAAGGATGTATCCTGGTTGCCCTCACAGTCCGAGAGTACTCCAGACCCCTTTTAACACAAAAAATATTTTACTATTGTTTGGACTTGTACAACGACCAACACAAAAACACCAAACAATCCCCTTGGATTTTCACTAAGTACACTAAGAGAACAATTCTCCCTTAATGACTCTCTTGCTTTCAACAATCCTGGACAACAAGTATTTTGTTTTTTTAGAAGAGTTTGGAATGATATAGACAATGTACCAATCACTTGATTGATCTTCTCTTTCAAACATACAACTTTCTCAAAGATATAATTGTTTACCTCTGGATTTGGTAAACAACGTTGGTCTCTTGAAAACAAGTTTACGGGCGAGATCGATCAGAGAATCTTGGAGTAGTGCTTCAGTTCGCGCGCGTAGTCAAAGCGTTTTCAAAAAAGGGTGCGTTCGACTAGGAGCCAAACATTTTAAATTGTAAAAAACAATGACAAAAAGACAAAGTAAAGGAGATGAAAAGCGTTTTAAGTTGTAAAAGATAATGACATAACATTAAAGAAAATTGTAAAACAGGTTGGTTCAAACATACATTGCCTTTGCCTGATTCATTTCGCTCGTTCGCTTGGTTACTTTGAGTGACTAGCGTGCAGGAATGTGAAAAGTTTGACCATTTACAAAAGTGCACAAAGTGCTTTATTTATAATACAAATAAATAACTACTTTATAAGTGGGCTTCGTTTTCTTGCATGCCACGTGTTCTTCGTAACTTCCCCTCACAAACTTACGTTCTCTATTGTAACTTCTCTTTATGAACCCACGTTCTTCATTGTGGTCGAACCCACGTTCTCCCTTTATAACGTTTCGCATTTACAGTTTTAGGCGTGTATGAGCCTTTAAACTCTTTTGGGTTTCTCACCTCTCCTGAGCCCAATCCATTCACCATAAACTTTTCTCTGATCGACTGCGCTTACGAAACCTTGGAAGACTGTCTGTGAAATCAACCATGGTTGACATGTTTATGTAGTCGACTCTTCATAATTTAATATTCTTTAATGCTCTTGAAAGAGCATTTTGACTTTTGGTTTGGATTTCTCTCTTTATGAAAATCTCAGCCAACAAATTGCCCCCAAAATGTCTGAAAGGGCATAAACGGACATTTTAATCCTTTTCTCTTAGTGCGAAGTGAGGTCATTGTAATCATGACTTTATTCTGCAAATGTTACATCATCGATCACACAATCACTCCCCTACTTTTCTAGCTTCGACTTTCTAGGACAATCATGGCCTCCAACTTATCAACTTTCTCACCTCAATTTCCATCTCTTTGACACGTGTAGGTCGTGTGGCCACTATTTTACCCACTTTCTTCCCAAACGTTTGGTTTCTTTGGTGGTATAAATACCCTCTTCAATCCTTCATTTTCTTTTTACGATTTCTTTGCATCCTTAGTCTCTTAGTTTCCAACTCAGTAAATAAAACCACCTTCATTTTTTCTCATAACTTCCAATCATCTTCCATGGCGTCTCCAAGCCAAAGTGTTGAACATATTAACGCTCCTCACACGATTGAGCTAGTTTCTACCATGCCTAAGTTCCTCGCTATTGATGGACAAAACTTTGTGTTGGAGCCAAACCCAGCACAAAACATTGCTACTTTCCGTTCTAATTTGTTGCTTCCATTTGTCTGCAACAACACTGCATACACTTTAATGGGACCCACCCCTGATGAGATTAGGGTACCAAAAATCTGAAAAAATGCTTCCCTGTTCATAGAAGCACAAGGCCCTCTATCGCTCGAAAGTGTCCTTTAGATTTCTCCCACATCTACAAGACCTTAAAAGTTTTTCGCTCTGCTCCTGTTGTCAACCAGGACTACATTGCATGGTTAAATAAGGTGGAGAAGGTTAAATGTGGTGTTTGGAAATCCTAAGGCATTTTTGACCTAATTCAACTTTCTAGGGTTGGCCCTAGTACTACAACTATATGATGATTTATGCCATCTACTTCTGGGAGAGTTCCACAAACACCTTCCATTTTGCGACTGGTATGCTAACCCTAATGTTGTCTGACGTTGCGGCTATCACTGGCCTTCGTCCTACAGGTGAAACTTTCATCTCTATTGTAACTGATGAAGATGTTATTCCTTTTGATAAGTACGTCACTGGTTTCACCAAGTACATGGAGCATTTTTACTCTAAGTATGTTGACACGGTGTTCGATGAAGAGCACATCGCCTTTATGGCCTTGCGGCTCTCTAAATATATTTTCTGCAACAGGTCTCTAAAGGTGGCCAAATGTTTCATTACATTGGCGTATCACCTCCACATGGTTCTAAACACCTTCTTGAGCAAACTTATCATGGGGTTGCTTTGTGAATCGCTCAGTGTGGGGGTCGACCAGATGACCTCTCTTGAACCAACTGCCAGCTATCTGCTTGTTGGGCCATTTTGGCTGCTGTAATTGTGGCTAAGTGCCACCTTTGGGGATCAGCTTAAGTTTAAGCTTTCAGAAGCACAAGAGGCATTCTTTGTCAGTCGTGCCATTGAAGGTCCTCGTCTTGCTCTGATGATTCCGTCCAATAATGACCTGACTCGAGAGGAGGCGCTTGAAACGTGCTTAAAGTTTTTCTTCAGTTGCACCTCTTTTCACCCCAGCACGGCGTCATTTACTTCAAGACCATGTGGTCCTGAATGGTTTACTCTACCATTTCCCCCTACTGAGCCAATGCATGTCCCTGAATCCAAAGTCATTTGGCAAGCTTTTCTGACCCCTAGGCTTATAGAGTCTAGGGTGGGTGCTAACGATGAGGTGACACTTATGTGTTACCAACCCAATCTGGTGGCTAGGAAATTTGGTTTGTGCCAACCTTTTCCTTGCAGCTTTTATAAGCCATCAAACTCGACGTTCCTTCCGTCTCAAAGTTACAGTGAAGCAGAGTGCGCTCAACGCCTCCAACATTTTGTTGTTGATGCCCCCAACCTAAACTTCTTTTCCTTAGAACCCTTCTTCTATACAACGAAGGAGTTCTTTGATTGGTGTACTGTGAGGTTCATAAATAAGAATGGGAACCTCAAACCTTTCAAGCATCGATTGGCCAACCCTCTCGAAGCTATGAATCAGTAATTTAAGAAAGGTATGACTTGATATTGTCACTGTCGATCATGTTATTTGCTTTCTCTCTTCTTCATGCTTTGACCTTTAAACTTTGTCTTGTGCTTTTGTTTTCTTCAGCAGTTGAGCACAAGAAGCGTGCTAGGGGGCTATTAGTAGTGTAGTTGTTTCTGCTTCTGCTGACGAAGCTTCTGTAACTTCCTCTTAGGTAATCTGTTAATTTTGGTGTTATCTTAATTGATTACATCCCCTGTCTAACACATTGATTATGTCGACCCTATTTGTAGGCTGCTGAAGCCCATGCTGTTGTCCCTTCTAGACCTTCTCCAAAGAAGCGAAAACACGCTTCTCATAAGGAGAAGTAAGTGGACAACATGCCTTCGCCTTTCATCCCTTCCA